GTAAAACAGATCCGTGGCGGTGTCGCGAGTCTGACGGGGGCTCTCCTGAAGAGGGTAGGTTTGCTGAAGGATAGTAAAAATACCGATTTTTCATACGTTTCCGCCCAGCTTTGAACACTTGGGTTGCATCTCTAATTAGTTTTTGTAATCAATTAAAAATGAGGAACAAGTGTACTTTTAACAAGTCTTGAACCTTATTCCTTATTTTAGAATGGAGCTTTTAATGGGGAGGCTTAAGTTTTCTACAGGAAAGCTTTGTGAATATTTGCAAGGCACAGTTATAGCAACAGGAGGGGAGAGCTTCTGTTCTTACGCTAGTTGTTTTAAAGCGGAATGGAAAAGATGGACTTTTCAGAAAACACTAGAGCGATTCATGACTCGCAGCCATGTTTATTTACTGACTGCTAGGTGGAACCACAAAATCTATATTTTACAATTCATGTAACATAAGTAGTTTCCTGTATCAAACTGGATTGAGCAATAAAGAGACTCGGTTTGCAATCTTTGAAACTTTCCTCGCAACTTTTGAGCTATGAAAACTTTGTGCAGTCATGACACATGTAGAAGTGGATGTAATCGCCTAAATTCTGAGAGTGCTCCAAAAGCTATAGCTTAAAAGCATAGCATTAAAAGAAACATCTGTTGGAGCAATGGTTAAGTGTCTGCTTCTACATCACTTGCTCTCATCTTGCTTTCCTTTTTTTCCCCTGACCATCTGCTTCTGTTAATGATATATGCAATTTTTGAAGGATCTGAGGCAGGTGACTTCTTGCTGACTTTTAATAGCAAATTAATTGCAGCTGGCAAGTCTGTAGTGGGTAATGATGTCAAACCTGTAACAACCCAGTAACTATGATGCATATGCAACAGTGAAAGTATACTTTTCTGTCCAGATTGGATGTATGCAGCTTTGTAAATATTTATATGTAGAAAGGAAGTGGAACATGTTACAGTTTTTATTCTGTACCCTAGGATAGGTATCTTTTTTTTTTCCCTGTAGTGTGTATGCACTATAGTGAACTAAAATAACGTATAAATGTATTGTAACAGTCATCTTTACTAACTGTCATATTCTGAGTATAGGTTTTATATTATGTATCAAAATCCTGAAAAAAAAATCTGCTTTCTGTGTTCATGGATTTCCTATTCAATGTAAAAAATGTTGTTGTTCTATTGGAGTCTGTTAGTTGCAAAACACTAAGGGCATAAATTGTTGTGAGTGAATGGAGGCACGATCTTGAATTCCCTTTTTTTGGGGATCATAGTAGATCATTTGGAAGACATGTCCATGGTGATCTTTGTTGCTAAATAGATCATTCTTTGTACCAACTGACGCTTCTTCATGTTGTTTGGTTTACTTTCTGAAACAAATCGTAGAACTCAATAAATGGAATCAAATAGCCTACTATTGGTGGAAGCAGTCCTTCAAATATAGAAGAATGTCTTTCCCCCCACCCCCAAGTGCTGGAGGTGAAAGGGGATACTAATTGTTATTAATGTCTGGGGACATATATTTACTGCAGTATATGCGAAGAGCTCCCCATGCACTGAAGCATAACTTGCACTGGACATAAGCATCATAAAAACTTTTGCTTTGTCTCCTCAGATTCCATAAGAAGAAACAACTAGAAATAATCTTTTAGTAAAGGTGTTGTACTTATTAAAAACCTAATGTTAACTTGCCAGAAGACAAAATGCCTATTTACACAGTTCCTGCAAGAAGTCCCTCTGAGACACAATGTACTACCACTTTGCAGAAGACTTCTTTGCAGAATACCAGCAGCAAAGCATCTGGGCGGCATCTGAAATCACAAGTGTCGGGAGAAGAAAAGGATAGTCTACTTTCATGTTCGCAGAGTAAGACTGAGGAAGTAAACAGGACCTACGTGATTTCAGCCTGTAAAAAAGTGAGTGACACATCAACTACATTTAAATCTGAAGGCAGATTAACACTCCAGAGGAGAACTGGAGCAAGCAAAAAATCAGTGTCCAGTAGCGAACAATTGCATATGAACACAACACAGGGTATTGAAAATACACAAACAGAGAAAAAACTTACTCTTCAGAGGCGTGTGAGGACTGGCTCCATAGAGAAGAGTAAAATTAATTGGAATACTGTCCCTGGAATAGACAATGACTCTGCTGCACAAAGAAATTACAAGATTGCACTTCCACCAAATGTTAATAATAATGATACCCACAATGTTAAACCAACCTTTAAGTTAGCTGAGGGTCAGTCAGGTACGAAGTTGCAGTGTAACCTGAACAGCAAGGATTCCTTTGCCTTTGGCGGTGGTCTGTGTGAAAATGACAGCTGCATGCATTTAAAATACAGCACAAGCACTGCTGATGCAAAGTTTCAAAATGAAGTTCCTAAATCAGAACAATTAGTTACCTCAAAATATATTAATAGGATAGCAGGAGAACAACTGAATGAAAAAGGCAATATAAATAAGCTGGCTGGAAAGCAAAGGTTGCAACACTTGATTATAAAACACAACAGCTTGGAAAGACCAAGGACGCCAACAAAATGTTCAACAGAAGGGTTTAAGCTTACACCAAAGAATAGCACTTCTCAGGATCAACTGTCTCTGTCCGCTTCAAATAAACGAACGCCTTGTCTTCAAATTCTAGCCAAAAAGAAAACTAGTGTCTCCAGCTGTCCTTCTGTGAGCAGTTCAAAACCAACAGAGAACGCAGAAACTCTAGCTGAGAGCAATAGCACTGAGAAAGATGTTTTCAAAGTGGAAAACAGCAAAGTGATTGTAGCTGTGCGTGTACGGCCTTTCAGTAACAGGTTTGTATCCTGGGCTTATTTCTTATGCTAATAGTAGCTCTTATAGTGTATGTTGATTCATGCTTTGTATTTTTTTAATTGTTTAATCATTGACCCAATAAGAACGTAATACGTACTTTGAAATTAGCTGATATTTCATGCCACGTCAAGATAAAGATTTTATTAAAAGGTTGAATACACTTTATAGGTGGTTGGGGCTATTTTTAACATATTCATTAGCTGAAGTATTTTGAGCTTGAATACTTTGTATGTTCATCAAACTTTTTTTTAACAATGATTACCCAACTTTCTATTTTCCATAAGGCAATTGATTGAAATGACTAACTTAAAGCATGTAGCTTATACTTTTAAATTTTTTAATTTTTTTCCCCCCTTCCATTCAGAGAGAAAAATGAAAACTCACTCCCTGTAATCTCCATGAGCGTTGCAGAGACAGCTGTACGAAACCCAGCCACAAACCAAGTTTACAGCTTCAGTTATGACTTCTCTTTCTGGTCTTTTGACAAGTGTCATCCTAATTTTGCAAGCCAAGCAATGATTTATAAAACTTTGGCAGTGCCGCTCCTAGAAAGAGCTTTTGAGGGATATAACGCTTGTCTTTTTGCTTATGGGCAGACTGGTTCTGGAAAATCATACACGTAAGTTCCTAATAATAATTGTTAAAATTCTGCAGGAGCCAATTGTTATGCAGTGTAAAGTCATGACGAGATTATACGGAATAGACTTCGTAGTTGTCGAATTGTGTTAAAATGTTTTTGCATATTTTAAAACAATAAAAAATAATTAAAACAGTATTTATAAAAAGTGAGACAAAGTTAGCTGTAGAATATTTTTATGTATCTGACACGAACCTCTTTCTGTGTCTAGTGAAGAAAATAAAAGCTCTTTGCAGAGATTTTAGTGAAGAAAAACCTTTATTAATGCTGAGAGCTTCTCAAACTCTCCCAGTGCTGTTGTTCACCACTGTTACTTTGTGTACAAAGTGACATGTTCTAAAGTATGGTATGTTTTTTGGAAAATACCTTTAAGAGATCTTTCTAATTATGGTCCTGACTGTTTCAGAACTTAAATAAAAAAAAAAAAACCCAGATGTTTGTGGCACTGCTTATTTGAAATCTAATCTTTGCATAAAATGATCCCAGACAAATAACATTTTGAGGGTTTATAGCCAATTTTATATACCTTGTGTATATTTTCAATAGAATGCCTTGTGAACTGTTGTGTTTCCAACCATGCATCTATTAAAATCAGTTCTATGAGTTTATCATTCCCATGAAGTACTATAGCCTTTTAAATATGTAGTTGAGGATCAGAAATGTTGCTATTCAATTTGTCACAATTTCATGTTTTTATTCAATTTATCATAGATAGAACTTAGGCAGAGGTAGGATTTTCTTTTTAAGTGAGAAGTCTATTTTTACTTGTAATGTTTATTTACATTAGCCTAAAAGAAAAATATGCTCACTATTGCAATTGTTATCCTAGGTTTGTTGGTTTGTTGTGGCTTTTTTTTCTTTTCCTCCACCTTCAGGTAGACAGTTGCCTTCACCCCTTTGTATTTTCACCAAGGCTGACATTAATACCAGTAATAACCGTCTCCTCAGGTCAGGTCTACACAATAAACTTCTGCCGACAACTCTGTTGTGCAGCTGCGTGAGTCTCTAGACTAGCTAGAGACTCTAGACCGGTACACTGGTGTTCTGCAGTGGCAGAACTAGTCAGGAAAAAACTACGCCAGAGATGGAGAGGGCCTTAGGTTACTGCACTGGCAGGGTGGAGAGAATATAAAATGCATGCATGTTAGGATATCAACCATCAATAGGTTTACTGTTTCTAGTACAACTTACTCTTCAGTTGCTGTAGGGTTTTTGTTTGACTTACATTTTCAGCCCATTTCTCGATGGATAAATTAGAAGAGATCTCTGGACATCATTTTGTCCACTTCCCTGCTCAAACAAGCACCGACTTAGATCAGGTTTATTTCTGTTGGTTATTACTTCTAGAACTTGGACGCATATGGTGTTTCAACTTTAGAGCTATATAATTCATATTAAAACTAGCTCTAGAGGGTTACAAAACTGAACTAGCAGGTTTTTTGTAACTACAGGATGATGGGATTTGATGAAGACCAAGGAATAATTCCAAGACTTTGTGAAGATCTTTTCACTCAAATAGCACAAATGGACAAGCAACAGGTAGTATGCTTATGCTATTGACCTTACATTGCATTATGAAGGAACTGATGCGTTTCAGTATTTTGATACCTGTTTCATCCTTTCATTTTATACCTTAGTGCTGATCCATTTATTAATGCCTGTATTCTTTTGTTGATTCAAATCTTATTTCTGCTAGTAGCTCTGATTAACAGGGTTCCATAAGTAGTCAAAATCAACATCGTTTTGCTTCCTTAATGACAATAATGTAAAAAAGAAATATGGGCATGATATTTTTGATGTGTCACTAGTCTAGGATTCTTTCCTCTATATAGCATGTCTTACAAGCTAAGACTTATGTAAGGAAAGATACAAAGAAATCCTAGTGGGTTCCATACTTTCAGTGGAGACATAAAATAGAACTCAAAAAATATGAGTTTATCTTTAAACATTGTCACATATCAAAGTGAAATATGCTTTAATAGTATTCTAATTCTAGTATTCTAGCTCAGTATTCTTGCTGAAATAAAAAAAAAACACAACTACCCCTACCTTGGATTTTTCTTTTAAGAATTTAAAATTTTCATTGTGAATACTGTTTTGTTTTCTTATCTGTTTTGAGAATAAATCTTTATTCATACATAATTCTATATGAAAGAGTGGTCTTCTGAGAGGGGGTGGGAATGTTTCATCTGATCACAATGTATTTTGATTTGAATTCCTGTCCTACAGCTATGGTATATGGATTTAAAAACAACAAAGTAGTAATCCTTTCCAGAGTGTTTTAATGAAGGCTTACATTCTGTTTCTGTCCAAATTAATTGGTGTAGCAATGGTAAACTTAGAGAATCATAACTGGAGACACAATTAGCTTAAACTCTTAAAATTTTAAAACTACTCATTTCATGTCTTAAGAAGAAAAGACCCAAACTGAGAATGCAGGTATGCAGTGGGTTTGTTTGTGGGAATTCCTCAGGTATATTTATTTTTCTGTCTGACTGTTGTTAAGGCTTTTCTAAGACTGGATTTCTGGTACAGAATCACTTTTGAGGAACTAGCTTGACTACAGGACAGCGCCTGCAATTTGAATTGTGCTCCTAAAGCTTTCTGTAGTAATAACACAAATCATGATTTGTGGTTAGAAACTCTGAATGTCTCTTAAAACTGTGAAAAGGATTAGAAATTTATATTTACACTTTTTCTTGGCTAAGGAATATCTGATGCAAAACATGCTGGTGACAAAGGCAGTTCTTTGTATTTTTTTTCTCTGTATGTTTGTCTCTGTAAGGACTGACTCTCAGGTCAGTAGGCCTCTATATTCAGTTAAGCTTACGCAGGCAAACTTTTCTATTTTTAACTATTCCAAATTTCTTTCTTGCTTTATGCTTGAATTCTTGACTTTGAATCCTAATACCAGTGAACACGTAATATTCTGATCCTACAGTAGATTTGATAGACAATGAGAAATCCAAGAAGGTTATTTGTTACTGAGTTTGGCGAGAGAGTATAACTTCTAAAAAATGCAGAGCTGCTAGTTATGTTTGTAATTCCTTTACTTACGCATTCTGAACAAGTGATTCAGTTGCTGCAAATTGTATCGAATCCTGTATTTCTGACTTCAATGTTTTAGTTTTTCTGCTGTAATCTTCCTTGTCTCTCAAAGGAAATTCCATTTTATTTAAAAAAGAAACAAAAAAGAAAAAAGACCTGGATGCCTTCAGAGGAAGGAGATGTGTTTTCACAAAAAGTTTGTTGTTCAGTACTTTTTAAAATTGCTGTATGTAGAATCAAGGTTTATCTTTTCATTAGGTCATTCTGTTCCATGTCAGGATGTTGACAACATCAATCCATGCCTTCTCTGTTACATGTATCATGCTGTAGAAGCACAGTCCCTAAGGGAATGAGACTACTGCAGGTGCAAACAAAACTATGTTTTCGTGTACTAAAACCCAACACTGAAACTTCTGAGGTGGATGTATATACATTTTTTTAAGCTTGGATGGAATTCCAATAAATTGTATTCTTGGCAATAGCAGATCCCTGGTTTAGGATATAATTTCTCTTGGGAAGTCCCTTCAGTACAAATGCTTGTAACATTGAATAACAGGATCTGGTAATCTGTTTTTGAAACAAAGGATGATGAAAATGTTTTGTGGACTATATCAATAACTTTTATTATTTATTTTATTAGATTTTGTATCATCTTGAAATGAGCTTTTTTGAAGTATACAATGAGAAAATTCATGATTTGCTTGTCTTTAAAGCTGAAAGTGGACAGAAGAAACAACCAGTAAGTTGCTCACAGAAACAAGTATATGCATAATCTCAAAGTAGTGGCCTCTATTCAGTAAACAGAAATGCACAAATGACAAGTGATCATTGTTTTGTTATCAAAGTTCTTTAGATTGTTGTGAATAACAGGATTCTAATAAAAAAAAAAAGTCTCACTATTTGACTTCAAGCAAAATGCTTGGCACTTAAGAAATGCTAAGCAAAAAAAGATCTTGCTGAAATAGAAACAAAATGATTCAGTAGAATCTCTCAAAATTGTTAACATCTCCCCGTATCTGCAAAATGAAGATGATTTTATCAGCCTTTATAAAAAGTCTCTTAGAGTATTATTTATCTAAATCTCCAGATTCTATTAAGAGTCTTCTGTGCAACATGATTTGAGTTATCCTGTAACTTAGATGGAGTTCTAAAATGGAAGGAGGACAATGCCAGGAGGCTTCCAATGGTGTTTGGGGGTGGGGGTGAAAAGAGTATTTGCCTAATTGTATTTGATCCATCAGTCTCCAGTTCTCAGCACTACTGAAATGTCCATTCACTTTCTGAAAATATCTGTGTATTGCTTATCTACTGGGATGCCTGTTTGCCACTGACTCTACATATCTAATTGCAGTCTATAGTATATTCATGAAAAAATATTAATACTTGCAAAGGGAGAATAGTTCCTTACTTTGTTTCCTCTCTGTATTTACGTTGTCCATTTACTTAGCACCAAGATGGGTAATATCTCTCAGAGTCTTTGCCCTGGATAATTTACTGCTTAGAGCCATGGGGCTGTCAGGAAGTTCCTTCTCTTTTATGTTGGTTGGTTGTTTCCCAAGGAGCGGGAGTGTGTGTGTGGGGGAAATCACTGACCTGATTAAGTAGTTAAGGATCACTAGTTTAGCTAGTTTTTAAATGCTTCTGTGTTAGAATATGTAAAAGCATAAATTAAAAAAAAAAAATGTGTTAAGTAGGGGAGGTAGGGAAGCAATTTATCATGTTTGATTTGTTAAAAAAAAAAAAGGACTTTCTGTACTTTGACATGTTGAACACTATACTGACCACCTGTGTGTAAACTATGAGTATTAGTTTATGATAAAGAAGATATACTACATTCAACTTGCTGTTGAAATAAGTTCTTTATCCTAAACTTGGGACTTATGTGGACTAGTTATATAGAAGTAAAGACTATACTGTCTTGTTTATAGTAGGATTGCTTTCATCTGAGTTTTGTCAGTGATTTTGAGCTAAGCTATTTAATTTGGAAACATAATCAATTTATGTTGCAGAAAAGATTTTTTTTTTTTCCTTATGTAAATATCTTATATAAGATACATGTTCAGCGGTTAGCTCTGTGAGTCATGGCTGGTAGAGTCTGCTGTGATTTCTCAGGTAGCTGGAAAAACTCAGTTGTAGGTTTTTTTCTGAAAATACTGTTCTAGATGATTCATGTTAAGTTTTGTTGATGATAAACATCATACTAGGGATGTAGATAGACTTTCTCTTAATTCTAAGATATTCCTGGGTGCTAGGTCTAATTAATGCACTCCTAATAATTTTTCTTTTAAAATCATTCTCACCAGCTTCGTGTAAGAGAGCATCCAGTGTTAGGACCATATGTGGAAGGCCTGACAGTGTAAGTCTCTTAACTGTTCTCATTCTAATAGATGTATGGTGCAATCCTGAAAGTGTTCTAATTATTGTCTTGAGGCTCTGTGAAAGCTTGTGTACTCACTAAGATCTTGCCTAATTTACTGGTATCGCGTAGTTTTACAAAAAATGTGTGCCCATGTCTAGCTTGACTTGACCTATTTCCTTTAGTGAAATAAGTGTGTGGAAGTCTCAAGACAACTGGAGCTTTTGTGGTATATTTGTATTTTGTCTGTAACTAGGGAAATGTTTCAGAACTCAGATGGCAGGGAAAACTATAGAAAGAAAACAGTCTGAACCGAAACTTTTCTTTTTCCCCCACCTTAGGAATGTTGTCAGTTCTTACTCTGATATCCAGGTAAGAGTTATTTGGTTACCAAAAAGGAATACAAATATTTCTACTTGCTCCTTTCTTCACTGTTGAAAACTAAATTCCATGGATGGGAAGAAAATGCTTTACAGACTGCCCAGTAGTCTATGATATTTCAACTGACTTTGTAAAAGGATAATGAAGACTAGTCCTGTGTAATGGAGTTAAGTAGATGCATACAGGCAAGTGTCACTCTCTTCACATGGTTATCTTGTAATCTTAAGTTTTAATTCCTGCCTTATAGAGTCATCGTTTGTGTTAATAACTTTATTTGCAAACTTTGTAATCTTCAGTTAACTACCCAAAGTAGGTTTTGGTTTCATATCCTGACTTTTCTCTCTTACAGAGTTGGCTTGAACTAGGAAATAAGCAGAGAGCAACAGCTGCTACAGTAATGAATGACAAGAGCTCTAGATCTCATTCTGTCTTCACCCTTGTCATGACGCAAACCAAGGTATTGCTGGGCATTTTAGATCTGTTCGAATTGGGTGGTTAAAGGTTGTTTTGTGTGCTGCCTAGAAAATTGTTGTCAGAATATACTTGAAGATGAGTAAAGCACAGGGCATTTTAACATGGCTTTCTACACAGCAAAACTTGTTTTATTTTATGAGCTTTGAGTACATTCTGATGTCTCTGTGCTACATATATTTATAGCAGCAACATAAATATGTCTAGACTGGCAGTAGTAGGAGTAGTTCTAAGCTTCTGAGTGTGAGTTTTGAGATGTAACTGGAATCCAAATTGAGGCCAGACCTGGTTTCACACTGCTGCTAACACTTCTTAGCTTCTAAGAAGGTTAGGCTATGCAAGGTGGATAGCAGTGCTGAGTGTCTGCAGGTGATGAGCTGGGACAATGGTAGGAGATGCAGTTTCTGCTCAGTTTCAACACAGTTCACTGAGTAAATGTTTCCTTGCTTCAGGATACCTGTCTCACCTACGTGTCTCCAGGATATAGGGTCTACAACTCCTCATCTGATTTACAGATGTGTAAAAAACAAAACCTCACTTACAGGAGCCTGAAAACAGAAATGAAATATGTAGAGCTCCTCAGAAATCTATAGTCTGTCAATTTTCTCCATTCACAAATAACTTGTTGGTTTGGGTTTTTTTGTTGTTCTTGGTTGGATTAATTTTTTCAGCCCAATTTGCTAATCTTCTCCCTCTTTTTTCTCTTTCCTTTTTTTTTCTTTTCCTTTCCTTCTCCTTCTTCCCCTCCCTGTTCTCACCACTAGCTTTTCTCTGTCAGAACTAGTCCTGAGACTTTTCCACCAACTACTTAGCTGATCTTCATTGGTCCAAGTCAGTAACAGCTTACTCATTTCTGTGGGTTTTGGATAGCCACAATAGTCAAAATTCAGACCCAAACCCATAGGTTGGTAATCTGTTGGTGCAGCTTCTGCTTATACAGATACTCAACCCCTAGCAATTGGTACTATGGTTAAAAGTCTGAACTTGGTCTCCTTCAAGGGATACACATGAAGGTATCCTGTCAAAAAGTAAATGGAAGTGTCAATTTTTTATGTATTTAAAGTGGACAGCTTGTTAGATTTCTGCTTGTCCTCAGGCTTTTTATTTTGGTTTGAATGCAAACATCTCCCTTTTTTCCAGGTAGAATTTGTGGATGAAGAGCAATGTGATCGTAGGCTTACCAGTCACATAAATTTAATTGATCTAGCTGGCAGTGAGTGCTGCTCAACAGCTCAGACCACTGGAGAAAGGCTGAAGGTAAACGAAGATTAGAAATCTGTGGAAACGGATTGACTCCGAAGAATTCCAAAGCATCCTCACCTACCAGGACTCTTGGGTGGGAACTGTAGTCTTAAAAGGCTATGTGGCCTTTATGCTTATAAGTATTGCATAGCATTTTGCTAGTGAGGGTGGATGGCCCAAAGAAGCTGTTTTGACTGTGCAGTATGGCAGGCCAGAGCTTACTTAGGACAGCAGTCCCCATGCAGGCCTAATGATCCTTTAGAAGGAATGAGGAAAAACTGTTCACATGGCTTTCCAAATCATGAATCAGATACTGCACGGAATTGGGGCTTGCGTCTTCTTTGGGAATTTCAGAAAATAGAGTTTCTAATAAGAGACTTTCTTTCAAGCTGCCTTCATAAGTTTGATGGTTCTTAACACTGCTTATTTTAAAGCCAGGGTCTCTGTTCTTTCCAAATGAAGATCTTCTAAGATAGTTTTGCATCTTATTGTTGTTTTTTAATCAGTGGTGACATTTAATATGGTACAGCTGTACCATATGGTGAATAAGCCCAATTAAATCAACAGCACAGTCAATAGATCACACAAGAAAATAGAACTGTATTATTTTTATTTTTGCTTTGTATAGGAGGGTGCGAGTATCAATAAATCACTGTTAACCCTTGGAAAGGTCATTTCTGCACTCTCTAAACAATCTCGAAATGGAAAGAAAACTTTCATTCCTTACCGGGAATCTGTTCTTACTTGGTATGTACACTTCAGAATTTTTTTATGTAGAAGTAAAGGCTTTCTCAGATTGTAGGTTCCTCTTCTATTCAGGAGGCATCACTTGCCCTCCCACCCTCCCTCTCTCTCAAATGACCTATGGAGGGAAGAAATTAGCCTGTTGCATCAGGTGAAGAACAAACAGGACTTTGTTTTGTACTTTAAGTAGCTAACAATCACTCTCAAATAAGTAGCAAGACCCTAGGTGTATTGTGTTTAATCTGTTCAGATTGAGAAGTTTAATTTTTATTTCAATGTGGGGGCCAGGGATTGACTTTTACTGTCCTGTCAAATGAAGGTTGTTAAAGGAAAGTCTCGGTGGAAATTCACAAACTGCTATGATTGCCACAGTAAGTCCAGCTGCCAGCAGTACAGAAGAAACACTCAGCACTCTTCGCTATGCAAAACAAGCTTGTTCAATTATCAACATTGCTAAAGTAAATGAAGATGTGAATGCCAAGCTAATCAGAGGTGAGGTTGACATCTGCAGTCTTCGAGTACTTTTCATTTGCATGTGTGTTTAACTTATTGCTCAATAAGAGTTGTTACTACTAATAATCTAGTGTTGACTGACCATGTGTCAAACAGGCTAATACAACCTAGGATATCTTCCTTTTAATATTATTCTCTTTTCTGAGCTTTTTTTTTCCCCCAAAGTTCAGCTGATATCTTAGGCTATACTTGAGAACCTGGAATGAGAAAAGGTGTTTCATTTTTAATTAACTAGATTTAAGGAAGAATTTTCTAGTATCGTACTGAAATGTCTAAACCCTATTTTGTCTTCATTTTTTGTACTGTGTCTTTGTCTAATGTAGAATTGAAAGCTGAAATTGAAAAACTGAAGGCAGCTCAGAAGAGCGCTCTGAACACTGATCCTGAAAAATACAGACGTTATTTGCAGGAAATAACATCTTTGAGGGTAAAATTACGCCAGCAGGAGAGGGACATGGCAGAAATGCAAAGGTTGGGCAGTTGTTAATGTCTTACTCTAAAATAGAAATGGTAAAACTTATATGCTGTAACTTTTCTCCTAATATGTTGTGTTATTTAATATGTTAAGGGCCTGGAAAGAAAAATTTGAACAAGCAGAAAAAAGAAAATTAGAAGACATAAAAGAATTGCAGGTACGTTTTCTTTCTTCACTTCACTTTCTATAGGAGATAGTACAGAAAATATAACATCAGCAAGCCTTGCAGAAGAATTAGAATAGTTGTAAGATTTGTTTTCCTTAATGCTATTCTTTTAACAGACTACTGTGACTTCTTAGAAAAAATTAATATAGATATTTGAATGCACAAAGTGAACTGTTTTTTTTTATGGAGAGGTCTCTTTTATCTAGAAAGCAGGAATTGCATTCAAAATGGACAATCATTTACCAAACCTTGTCAATCTCAATGAAGATCCTCAGCTTTCTGAGGTGCTATTGTATATGATCAAAGAAGGAGAAACTACAGTTGGAAGGTATACATCAAATTCGAAACATGATATCCAGCTTTCCGGAGTGCTAATTGCTGATGACCATTGGTATGTAGTGTTCTTTTTATACTTGAAGTGAGAGCAGGAAATACCTCTTCTCACCCTTCCCTTTCTTTTGGAGTCACTCTTCCTTCTGGCAGTAACAAAATACAGTTTTCTAACAAGGAAAATACTATCTAGGGATAACTTTTGTACTGTTCAACGATTAAGGTAACTTAATCTGTTAAGTTGTTGGATGTTCTGTTCCATCTAGAAATCTGTTAACCAAGGTAGTTTAATTTCTTTGTTCATTTCATTCATGTAGCAAAATTTTCTGTTTGTGTAGAAATGCTGGAGAAGGACCTGGTCAAATGATGCTGTGTGATAACTCTATTACATTAAGTTCAATAGAAAAGTGAAATGCCTTGACAGTTCTTACTTAAAACTAAAAGTAGAGAGCAACTCGGCCATATTGCAGAAATATTTTTTAAAGTGCATTCCACGCAACTGATCCTAGACACAATGCTGGAAGAAACTTAAGTAATCAATTACTAAAAACATGAAAGATGCGTGTATGTTGGGAAATTAAGCATTATCGAAGAAATGCTCAGATGGCAGGGTATTGTAGTAATTTATTACAAGTGGATTCTTCTTAGATTTAAATATCAATTCTCTTCCAAAATATAGGTTGTCACTCATTATGTATGTTGTAACTAAATAGTATGAAGACAGTCCACATCTGGAAAAACAGTAACAGGACACTATCTAAAGCATGAATTTTAGTCTATTAAGAAACATCACTTGCAATTAACATGAGCTGATACTGCAAATGTTTCTTGTTTTCAGTGTTATAAAAAATACTGTTGGCAAAGTGAGTATTATTCCACTAAGAGAAGCAAAGACATATGTGAATGGGAAATGCATTTTAGAACCAACAGTTCTGCATCATGTAAGTAATTGATTTGGTAAAAGTAATGTGTGCATGTGCGTATTTTTCAGCTTTGTTAATATTACAACTTCAGACTGCAGGTTTTCTTAGAAGGCTCTGAAACTGTAAATATTTGTCTTGTCCCCTTTGATTTCTAGGCCTACCTGTTATGTTTTGAGCACTGTAAATTTGCTTATAAACCTAAAAATTATAGAACAAACTTTTCCTCCCCCCCCCTTTCCTAATAGGGTGATCGAGTGATCCTTGGGGGAGACCACTATTTCAGGTTTAATCATCCAGTAGAAGTTCAGAAAGTTAAAAGGCCATCTTGTGGGACTATGTTTTTGCATGATGGTCCAAAAGATTTTGAATTTGCAAAGAATGAGCTGCTTATTGCACAAAGAACACAGTAAGTATTGTATCTTCTTGTTCTAAAAATAAATTCAGTTGTTAATGCAACAGTGCAATAAGTTTAAGAAATAAGAAACTTAATATTATTTCACAATAAAGGAAATCTGGAAAATAGCAAGGTTATTGTTAACTCCATTTGTCACGGAAATGGAAGTCCCAGACTTAGCTGAAAGGAATGTAAACCTCTAAGAGGTGATCACTACAATCTAGTCCAGCTGGCAAGAATGTAGATCACTATTAAGGAAACACTGAGCTCCAGAGGTCCTCAAAGTAGTGTGTATCTTCAGTTACATTTCTCTCCAAGCACATAACGAGTCTGAAACTGACTTTTGATCTTTCAGAGAGACTTAAAGCCTGAAAAGCAAATACCTTAGGAAAATGAAAAGAACCCAAAGTTACAACCTTGGTCTTCTATGGTGGTGAAGAATTTAAGAGACAGTAAAGGGTTATTTGTACTTGCTTATTTCCTGGGAGTTGTTAAACTGCAAGACTCATTGACTTAAAACTGTTCTGCATCTTAATGTGATTTAGTGAGTTTCTATTACAGTTCTTAATTTTGTGAAAGGTGCATAATAAAATAAATATGGAAATCAAGTCAATTTAAAAATTCTGGAATGTTTTCCATCTTTACTAGTGTCTACTTTTTCCCTATGAAATCAAAAATATCTAGGTAAAGTATAAAAGTTGTTTTTAAAAAACCAAAACAAACCCTCATATTTTTACTGTTATGATGGAAGAAAAGATTATAATCACTATGTGGCCTGTAAGAGGTTAAAGCCAGCATTCTAAATGTATGACACTTCTACCTGTAGGCTTGAGTCAGAAATTGAAGAGGCACGACTCAAAGCCAAGGAAGAAATGATGCAAAGTGTCCAAATTGCAAAAGAGATGGTTCAGCAAGAACTGACCTCACAAAAAGAAGCTTATGAAAGCAAAATAAAATCACTGGAAGCAGAGGTGGTAAGTTGGCACTGCATCGTTACATAAAACATATCAATAAAATAAAATGGAAGCTATAGTATGCGATTTCTGTTTGTTTGTTTATTGTTTTGGTTTTTTGGGGCTTTTTTGGTTTTGCACATTATAACAGTCTATTAGGGAATGCTAAGCCTCATTCTTCTTCTTTTTTAAAAAAAAAAAATCAGTCTTACTAACACAAGAAATTACAAAGTAGGTACCACCTTCAGAATTATTCTAGGGATTTTGGTTTATAGAATTAGCCAGGAACTAAAATGTTAATCTGGTGTGAATTTGATGAGAGTGTAAAACAAAATCTAACTTATTCTACGAGGCTTTTAAATTACTACAGTATTTTAGTTAATGTGGCTTTTTTTCCTTCCAAGTTTGCAAGCTGCTTTGTTGTTAGTGTTTTAAATACTTTTACAATACATCTAAGTCTACATAGAATAGTACATCATGGTAAAACAATAATAATGATGGAGTATCTTATTTCTTAAATGTGCTACAGAAGACATAATGCAATGCTTCTGAAATGGAATATAACCTTTCATTGCCAGCACTGGGCTGAGTAGTCCACAGGGGCTGTGTGTTTTAAGTGTATTGAAGTGAAAATAAATCTTAATATCTGCTTAAGGGATAGATCAGAAATGCTGTAGAAGTGGTATACCTCCTCTCATCCGTCCTTTTTCATATTAGAGAGAAGAATCTCGTAAGAAGCAAATCCAAGAACTGAATAACCAAAAAGCTGCAACTAAAATACAGGAGCTAGAGAAGGCAAAGCAAAATCTTGAGCTAGAACTACACTTCAATAAGAAGCGTTTAGAAATGGAGACCTTAGCTACCAAGCAGGTAACTTAAAAATCTTGCTGCTTTTTTTTTTTTTTTTTTTAAGCTGATAAACTGTGGTGTGTTTTGTGGGGGTTTTGTGGGTTTTTTTTAAATATAAATAACTGTAAGTGGAATGTTTCTGAAGTATTTTTCTACATGATTTTATGTTTTGTTTATACTTTGAATATGATATTCTATTAAATTTGGGGATAAACTAATGCTGACCTTATTTCTTATATAATGTGGACTGTGTTGTTCATGTACCAAACTTTAGTGACCATTGCCTGTGCCAAAAGTTATGACTCCAAGCATTAATGTAAGTAATGACTGGTTTTTGGCTGGTGTTCATATCTATCTGACTGCTGCAACAAGTATGACTTAATTTTTTTTTAAGTTGTTTCTTTTTAATTCCAGTATTTTTTAAAGCATGTCACTATCTAAGCAAAATCAGAACACTGTTAGAGTTTGAAGATGGAGGATTTCATATCGCTATGGCAGATGTCCAATATAAATTTCATTCTGCTCTGAGAGTCCATAAAATGACAGCAAGAAAAATTTTGCTTAAATAAACAGTATTAAGAGTTTTGGATTTTTCTTTTTCCTTCCCCCAGGCTCTAGAAGATCATACTATTCGTCATGCAAAGATACTTGAAGCTCTGGAAGCTGAGAAGCAAAAGATTGCTGAAGAAATACAGAGTCTTCAGAAGAATCGTGGAAGTGGGAATAAAACTATGACTAGTATGTATATACATAATGTTGCAAGGGCAGTGCTGACTTCTCTTTTGCTTGGTGGGCTTGGATTTAGTGGATATGGATCCAGAAATTTTTTTCTTTTCCTCTAACACTTCTCTAACGATCCTGAACAAGAAGAGTCTTTTGGCTGCTATGATCCTTTCCACTCATAAGCTGTATATATCAGACAGTGCTAAAAGCTCTGTTTTAATCACGCCCAGGGTGGTTAGCTAGACATATGTGTAGTCTGTATTTACCCCGATTACTTAGAAGTTCTTCCCCCATCTGGCTGAACTGGTTAGGCGTTAACTCATTGGGGAAACTGGAGTAACAGAATTGATTCTGTCTAATTTCCTATCTCAGATTAGTCTAATGTATAGTGTCTGATGTTATGCCTCTATTTTTGAAATACCCTTTACGTGACCTTTTACAAAGAGTTATCTTGGCTGGGAGGGTCATTTTTTCCCAATGTATTGGGAATTCACAGAACTGTTGTTGGCTAAATTCCATTCAAGTTTTCTGGTTGTGGTTTCTTTTTTTACTTCTTTTTTAAAACCCTGAAGTTGTTGCAACACATTGTTTGACCCACTTAATCATTATGTGCTATATTCTTTATCAGTTCCACTTAATTGGAATTCTCTGAAGCTATCTGTGATGATCAAAGAGGCCAACACCATTAGTAATGAATTAGGGAAAAACACTGTTTTCTACAGGTAAGTATCTGAGTTAGTTAATTATAAGGGGGTATATA